CCACCCCCCACCCCACCCCATAAATATTAATAGAAACATTTCTCTGATGTCGGAAATCTTACCTCTTTAGGAAAAACATACTTTCAAACCTTCCCTAACAGTTCTCACTAATCACACGCCCCTACCTGTTGGTCATAGAGCAGTCACATCCTGAATGCCTTCATACCTGTTGGTCATAGGGCAGTCACATCCTTATTTCTTCTCACCTGGAAATGAATGTTTTCGGAGTGTAAATATACACTACTGACTATTTATTACATGTAGCAATGTTTCCTGGTTTTCTGTTTCAACGCAAAGTCGATAAATGTCATAATTAGGACTCTCAAAATCCTTCGTGGGATTTTTATAAATGGTGTGTGTATATTTATTAATGGTGTGTGTATATTTATTAATGGTGTGTGTATATTTATAAATGGTGTGTGTATATTTATTAATGGTGTGTGTATATTTCCACACTAAATTACGATAATTATAAACACAACTATTTCATTGTCTTCATGCTTATTTCTTGTAAGTAAATCAAGAATAAGTCAAATATTTATATATATTATTATAATGATAGTATAAGTTTTATGTCTTGGTACTGATCCCTTGAACGTTACCAAATTTAAGAAGTTCCTAATCATTATTATCTTATAACTGGTACGGAAAGCGTTGTTGGTGTTAGATGAAAATTCAAGATGTTTTCGTATTAGTGGATCTCTATTTTACACGTGCACACCAGTTTTAATTATCAGTCCGTCATACCAGAGTGACGGCGGTCTGCTGATTTACAGAATATTTTCAGATATCTTATGCCATAATTCTATCCTACATAATTATATATTCTTAGATATATAATCTATAATTATATCAACTTAAGTGAACCCTGAATGAAAATCCGACAGCAGAAAATAAAACACTTTTTTTCTCGCAATTATTTCGATTTGTTTTCTTTGCATGGTTAAAGTATTAACTAATTGAAACTCATGTGGACATTTTCGACGAAAAATAACTAAAACAGCATTAAACCCTGCAAACATTGGCCTCTCTCAACATAAAATGTTTGGTGTGATAAAAACATAACTTATTGGACTATTGTGTTGTAATTTTTAAATGACATATTGCGGTTACATCTATAGAACATATCATAACAATTGCATCAAAACCAAACAAAGGCAAGGAAAAGAGAAATCTAACCCTAGTTTTTGGACTATTTCAACATAAGGTTAGGTAATAAACATAAATTCAGCTGTGTAAACACAAGTTCATTCTTTATTTTCATGATAGTATCTCATTTAACGAAGTTTCTGTAGCGTTCAACGTAGCGCAGAAATGTTTTTTATACATCATATAAAATTCAGAACTGATTTGTATAGAGGATATTGTTTTAACCTATTAAAATAACATCATAGGATGTTTACGACAATGAAGATTAACTAACATCAAGACAGAAAGCATGCCCTGTTTCCATAGCATTTAAGGTGACTCCACACTTTCGCAATTAACCAGCAAAATTCGTTGAAATTTTCATATAATGGTTATGCAACTATGAAGAGTTGATTTTATGAAAATCTAAACATTCCGATAGTTTGGGTACTTTTTTGGAAAAAATACCCACATTTGAATTTTCGTCAATTTTAATATTTTCGGTTTTATTTTGTGTGTGGCATTGTTCGGAACAATAACAACAATAATAAAATGAAAAGAAGCATTTCTTATTGAATTTGTACGGATAAAAGTGATTATCTACAAGCTAGAAGCAAACAGGACACAAACATCTATACATATAGAATGGGAAATTGAACAAAATATACATAATGGCTTTATAATTAATTTATTTTACATTTTACAATCACTTTGATCCGGGTGAGAGTTATCTTCTTTGAAAAAATCGGAACTTTTTGCAGAGGGGTGACATTTACACAATGACAATTGTATCTGTTTACATATAACAAAAATAATGGAAATAAATCAAAAATATGATATCAAAATTATCAATTTATTGTTCTTTAATGGAACCAAATAACCCTCAGTCATGTACACTTTGGACATCATTCCACAGTCCGCTAACTCACGATATATTTATAATTACATGTCAGGTACATATGTGACCAGAGGCTATCGCATGGATGCCGTTCTCACGTGCACTCAAACATGCATTTCATAGGTATCTTTATATTTTACAAAACATTATTTTCACAGAGTAAGTAGACTACATTTGTAAACACGATTTAATCGACAGAGCGAAACTCCCTCAACAGCGAAAATCGTAACGACCTCGATTATGCACATGTAAGGTCGGTACGTCCGTATTCCATGTATTTCCTATATGACCTTTTTGAGGTCGTCTGGTCTCATGTCACTGTCTTCCCGTGAGTCTGTTTATGTCTATGAATTGGAAAGCTTTATATCGGGTGTTGACATATATCATCGGCACGCACGTGTACTATTGTTTACCAGGGGCCTATTCGTTTATGCGGAACAACCGGTTTGACCGTTTATAAATGTAACAATTTCGGGTATGAATCCTGGCGGACCTGCAAATGTTTATGCAGGCCTTGCAAGGCTTTCTCAAGGCTCGCCTGAAAGCAGCATCAGATAATTAGGTCCGACCTTATTTAATAAACGAACAACAGTGGTCCGATCGGTTTGACCGTTTAAACGAAAACGGCCCAGGTGTTACTATAATTTGCACTACGATATTGAATGCCCGATACGCAATACGGAAATGACGACACGGTGTACATGCACATTTCGATGAAGATAATTGAGTCCCAGCTGTACTTTTTCAGGAGGAACGTCACGAAAATGGACGCTGATGACGATGTGTGGAGCCACCTTAACACGGATGTATTTTTCTCGGACTGGTATTTTTCTCGGACTGGTATTTTTCCACCCTATTTCTATTCCATTCGATCCTTTGCAGTAAATAAGTGACTATAAATAAAGAATGTGTTTTCTTTGAATAAAGCTATCTAATGTGTGATGGTTAGACATTATTTTCAAAAGTTTCACATATAAAGTTCAATTAATACGATACGACGTCACGTTCCACATGTATTTTAAATGTAGAATTATCAAAGAATAACCATGTATAATGTTTTGATATCGGTTGACGTACTCGTACATGTAATTTCGGAAACAGAACAGGCAGAAATAGCATTGGAGAGTTGTAATTGTTTGGTATTTCTATAGTTATCCTATACCAATATGTTACCTTGATATGAGGAGCCTGTCCTATATAAAATTATAATAATGTCTGTTTATAAGCAAACGTGAATTGAGTATTGAGGGGACCTCTCCTACATTGGGTTATCCATAGTTAACACTCGAGTCAGATGTTATCTACGTGTACTTCCCCGGTTACATACGTCATTCTACATTACACTTCCGAAAGGTATCATTTAACGTCACTTGGATACTTCCGGTTGGTAAACATGAGGTAAACAATACGATTTCCTGTTTATGAAAATGAGGTATTCAGGCCTTTATTCAGTAGTCTGTCAGTGCTACTGATCTAAATCTGTACACGTCAGAAGATAAGCGTTTACTTACTGCTCCTTTATGACGTCTGTGGATGTTTTCCTGTTTCAAGTTTTATGCCAAGCCCATAACTCTGGGTCAGTCGGCCTACACAGAGCAAAGGGAACTTTGCGAATTAAAACGTGTAAAATGCATTGACCGTGTTTATGTAAAGGTGTGACAACTCGGACTTATAAGACTCTGTTACAGTATAACCATTTTAACACCTAAATTGATGTGCGCTGAATAACGTCATACGTTTTGAGGATTGGTTGTTCACTGTTTAATGTCCAATCAACAACCAAGGTCATTTCAGGGGTACGTTTACGGGGTATTAATCGACTATCGGTAAAAGAAGTCACCATCGTGATGGTTTTTTTTACGAGAAAGATGAAAAGTTGTCGTTTATGCCCATAGAAAAATCGACCTCATCTAACATTCACGGGTCATAATAACATTTATAATGGATGTATAATCGTTGGAATGACGCTTACCTCATGAATATGCAAAAAGGGGAGGTAATTNGGGGGGGGGGGGGGGTCTGCAGAAGAAGAATACGTGGATAAAGATGGTTAGTGTAACAGTACCAAGTTTTTGTACATCAGAGCTACATAGAGTCGGTTTGTTCACATTAAAAGTTTTCCAAACTTCTCATATATACAATTACTAGGAGTGGCAATATACCGAGAGTTGATCTTAATCCTTAAAAGGTCATTGAAACAAATTACCAAGTTCCTGTGGGCGTGACTTTAGTATCAAGTGTGCATTTGCCTTTTCTATGCAAACACACGCAAGTGAATCTCGTCAATTACGGCGGATAATAAGCATCTGAGAAAGTTTTCAAAACATTATAATAACATTGTAAGATAGTAGTGTACTACAAAATACCAAACTAACAGTCGAGTTATTCACTTATTTCCTTTCTTTGGATCTACGGTCTGTCAAAACTATACTACCATCAAAGAAAAACGATCACTTCAAGGTTAATATAACTTCCTGTCAACAGTATCATTCCAGGATATAACCTTCTTAATATAAAGAAAAGGCAACCTCTCCAAATCAGTAATGGGCAGCAGAAATAAAATCTAAGGTTAGAGTATTTAAAAATGGTGTTTCTTCTTTTTCATTTTTTTGACAGTCTCTGTATAGCAAAATGATGAGAAGAAGTTGAATAGGGGCAATACGCGAAAAAAAATG